ATGCCTTACTGGTACTCAGCTTATTAGATTTATAACGCGTCATTCCGTACGATACAAAGTGGCTGTAATTTCAAAAGAGGGAGGAAAAATAATATCATTTTATAGTAATTGATTAGTAGGGGTAAGCTATGCTATTATATAATAGCGAAATTTTTTCATTAATTAAATTTATGATTATTAAATAAGATTGACTATCATTTTTCCTACTGCACTTGACATTGTTGAAAAATATAGAAGACAAACATTGACATATTGTGAACAATACTCCGACCATTTGAATATAACTCTAATAAATAGAACTTTGGGTACGATTTAGGAGATGAAGAACGAGTTCTAGGCAAGAGTTAGATGAAGCTGGAGTTATTATTACAGTTCCTTATGTATTCAGATGTATGATAGCGTCTACTATAGCTAAATTGTCTAATTCTATTGGTATAGCTTAGTTATAAGCGTTACCGTACTATGTTTTTTATAATGGCTAAAATCATAATCAAAGTTTGATTGATGTCTAAAAAGAGTGCATACTATAAATTTGGACTCAGATGGCTATTGAATGATTGAAATAATAAATATTCTGATTATCTAATAAGCTATTATGGTTATTCTAACCTAAACTAGATCTAGTACAGAAAATGTAATACAAAATAGCTAAGATCTATGTTGGAAATATCCCTTTATATGATGTAATAAATCTGTTCTTTCCAATTCTCTAATAATTCTAACCCCGAACGATTTGGAGTAAAACGGTTTATAACGGGGTTCTCGTTAAAAAAGTTTTCAACCACAGACTTTAATCTCAAGTACGAAAAGACAATCTCTATTGCTTTACTTTAACTTTTTATATCTTTGGCCTGTTTACAACCCGAAGAGTATAAACCGGAATTACTGAAAAACATTTTTTAACTTCTGGACTACTTATAAAAATGAAATTCTACGATCACTACAGTTTCTTACGAAACTTAAACTGGAACATCCTTTTTACCGACAACATGACCATGCTTTTGCTTGTTACTGCTAGCTCTATAGAGTTGAAAGCAGAATTACAACCTACACAATAGCACAACATCACTACATATGGTACAACTTATATCTTGATGGTACTAAAATTTTAAGCTTTTTTCGATATTAAAATAACTATATACAAATCATGTGCACATTATATACATAGAGCTAGTAAATGTGATATAAACACCATCGTAGTTAATTCTTAACATCTAGGTACTAATAAAACTCTAGCATTATGCTCTGAACTTACAACATATACACAAAGAATGAATTTTATTTGCTTAGAAAATAAAAAATACTGTAGATATCGGCAGCGACAACTAATCAATCATGTTAGCTAAAAGTGGTAAATCAATTTAATGGTAGGTAATTTCTTCAATTGAAATTTAAAATACATTAGAGGTAAATATTAATCGTAATCATAATTCTTTCGTTGCAGTGTCTATTTGCTCATTAAATTAGAAGGGATTAGCAATTAGTAAGGATTATGGCAGCATGATTTTCAAGATTTCGCTTGCTTTCATGCTTATTTATAATTTTCGTACTGACGTTAGATAAAAAATTTTTAATTTCATCATCGTCCTTAATTTCTTAGGAGTCAAAGGATAACTCCCAGACTAATTTCTAAGGCTACTATCATAAAATTTACCTAGAATAATAGAAATGAGGAAGCAAAAATGACTACATTTCATGATGTCATATTACTATTGTAACACAATGAACCTATATATTTTAGTGACTATTCTATAA